AGGTGTGTGCCTGTTCAAGGTCTTTCAATGGTGCTTAAATACCATTTTCCTTTCGTGCGATTTTGATATCGTATATTTTCCTGCATAATTTCAGGTTGGTGATGTCTTTTTACCTCCGTGGGCTAGAGGTAGTGTTCGTGAGTTCATCCTTAAGCACAGAGAAGCGTTGGAGTCAGATTATGTCTCAGAAAATCTGCATCATTGGATAGATCTCATATTTGGGTACAAACAGAGAGGAAAGGTACATTACACAATATTTTCCTTCGAGTAGAATGCCGAAGAAGCTGTGAATGCACATTACACAATATTTTCAATGCAGAAGTCAACGTATTGCTATGTTTCTTACTTTTCCTTGAATGTTTATTCTCAGGCTGCCGAAGAAGCTGTGAATGTTTTCTATCATTACACATACGAGGGAAATGTTGATATTGATGCAGTTACCGATCCCGCAATGAAAGCTTCCATACTAGCGCAGATTAATCATTTTGGGCAAACTCCTAAGCAACTATTCCAGAAAGCTCATGTCAAAAGAAGAACAGACCGAAAAATTCCTCTCCACCCTCTGAAACATTCAATGCATCTAGTTCCTCACGAAACACGTAAATGTTCATCTTCTATAAGCCAGATCATTACTTTCCACGATAAGGTGCTCGTAGCCGGAGCGAACTGTTTCCTGAAACCCAGAGGCTATACCAAATACATAACATGGGGTTTCCCAGATAGGAGTTTGAGATTTATGAGCTATGATCAGGACAAACTGCTATCAACGCACGAAAATCTCCATGAAAGCAACCAGATCCAGTGTGCTGGTGTTAGTCATGATGGGCGAATTGTGGTCACCGGAGCAGAAGATGGTCTAGTGTGCGTGTGGAGAGTAAGCAAGGATGGTCCCCGTAGTTCACGGCGTTTACGGTTAGAGAAAGCCCTATGTGCCCACACAGCTAATGTCACATGTCTACGTGTTAGCCAACCGTACATGATGATTGCAAGCGGGTCAGATGACTGTACAGTTATCATATGGGATCTCAGTTCCTTGAGTTTTGTGAGGCAGCTTCCTGACTTCCCAGTTCCCATTTCAGCAATCTACATAAATGACCTTACCGGGGAAATTGTAACCGCTGCTGGAACTGTCCTTGCTGTTTGGAGCATCAATGGCGATTGCCTTGCTGTAGCTAACACATCGCAGTTACCATCTGATTCGGTATTATCTGTAACAGGCTCGACATCTTCTGACTGGTTTGAAACAGCCTGGTATGTAACTGGTCATCAGAGTGGAGCCGTTAAAGTATGGCGGATGATACATTGTACTGATCCGGTGAGTGCCGAGAGCAAAACAAGTAGTAGCAACAGAACAGGAGGGCTGAACTTGGGTGATCAAGTGCCAGAGTACAAACTGATTCTACACAAGGTGTTGAAATTCCACAAGCAACCGGTCACCGCTCTCCATCTCACTAGCGACCTGAAGCAGTTGCTGAGCGGCGACTCAGCTGGACAGTTACTTTCATGGACATTACTAGATGAGACATTAAGAGCTTCAATGAAACAGGCTTCATTGAAACAAGCTTCATTGAAACAGGCTTCATAGGTTTAGATTCTATAGCGGAGACCAGTGAATCCCCTTTTGGTTTCTTTGGCTAGAACTGAAAGAGCTGGCCAGGAGACTTCAGGAACAGGACCACATAGGAGGAAGCAGGCCAAAGTTTGTTGGCTTTGATGAATCTCTTGCATCATTGGCTTACAAGTTAGGGAGAAAGAAAGCGAGTCGAGCCATTCTCAACTCTGATTTTGCTGGTGAGTTTTCAGGTTTG